TTGACACCAGTATAATCCTCCCAAACAACATACTGTTTAGTTGTAGAGTTGGTAATAGGAAGGTACGAAAAGTGATGGAAAATGCTAATGTTTATGCATATATAACGTAACAAAATAATTAGATAATAAAAAAAAGTTGTTTAACACATTGTAATATATGTCATTTAATCAACTTAACCAAAGTAATGCAGTAAAGAGAAGCTACTGAAGTTATCATAACTAGCATGAATAAACAACTTTACGGAAGCAAATATCACACCTTTACTTGTGGTCAAGTTAAAAAAGTGGGTGGCTGAAAGTAATAAATATAGTCATACAATGAACCAAAATGTAAAAAGGTATAAAACTAAATTGAATATATGTGAATGAGGACACTACTAAGTTGATTTAATAAACAATGAAATTTGTCGTCAAGTTAAAAAAGTGGGTGGCTGAAAGTAATAAATATAGTCTTACAATGAACCAAAATGTAAAAGGGTATAAAACTAAATTGAATATATGTGAATGAGGACACTGCTAAGTTGATTTAATAAACAATGAAATATCAATTTTGGAACAGTTACAGGGGTGTCAACTTTTAAATATTAAAGTAATTGAGACAGACTCTTCAAAACTGGTGGGAGTTTGCCCAAGGGCCCCAGCAGTGTCCAGAAGGAGAGATGCGGTGGGGACCTAGTATCTTCTTTGCAAGACAATATTGTTTAACTGAACATAAATTCCTGAACAATTTTTTAAAGATTGAATGTAAGTAGGGCATTTTTACAGATTAAGAGCATAAAGATATAACAATTTACTTATTGAAATATATAAAAGATGAATTCATTAATAGTGATTCTGACGTACATAAATCATACATGTGGTGAGTCTAGATTATCAAGAGTGTCTCATTCCTGATAAGAAAAGTAAACCCTGAAAGCAGGTATTCCCACCAGTTGTTGAATTAAATCATTTGAAGCAAGAACATGCCATGTGTCAAATCCTTGAGTTTACATGTCTGCAATTCAAAGTACAAACAAACTAGAGGAGCACTCAGTAGCGAACATACCTCCGCACGTTCGGTGTTGATCATATTCAGTCCTGAAAAAATATGAAAATGTATCTGTAAGTCCGTCATTGTCAACAGACATGGACCATTTTTGGCAGAACAATAAGGAATAACATGCTGTATATATCCAACAAGTGTTGTCAAAATCTCATCATTTTTGACTGAGTTATAGAACAAAAATAGTGTGAGAAATTGGTCCCCATGTTAACAGATACGGATGTCTTGGAATTTCGTGACCTTGACCCACCAAAAACTAATCACTTCTAAGTTTGGTCATAGTCCAAACTTATATAAAGTTTTGCTCAAATCCATTCAGCCTCTTTCTAGAAATTTTGCTAATAAACATACACACGCAGGGATGAAAACGTAACCCCCCCATCACCTTCGGGGGAGGAGGTAATGATAATCTACTGTTGAGGTCATTCTGTTTTATATAATGAACTGTTATGAAAAATACAATCATTAGCTAAAGGTATTACTAACTGTCACTGGCCATACAAAAGTTTTTCTTTATTTTCTCATTGAATTAAAAATAATAATGAATAGGTAAACAAGTTAAGTGCAGTCATGTAATCATGGTAATATTGGAAATATTTTGGTGATTGGGTGCTTGTACATTTCAGGGACTTTTATATGTTTAGAAAGTAATGATATTTTTTTTAAAGCTCAGTCATTTTGATTTTATATATTTTTTGGAATGCAACTATAGTAATTAAACATAATTTCTCTCCACAAACTACTAGCATGCTGTAATGTGTGGCTTAAGGACAATTATTTACTGAAGAAATACAACATATGTATGCAAAGCACCTGGGATTCTATCTATTCCATCTATCATGTCATTATGGAAAACAGTTTACAACAGGCTAGTGGGAACTTTCATAAATAGCCCAGTGTATGATGGGATTCAGTTTTTTTAACAAATACACGGTAAAAATTGCTTACTACAACAAATATAACATCTTCTATAAATTAGTCAAAGTCAAATAAATATTATAGTTTCTGGGTGGCCAAAAAATTCACAAAATCTAGAGAAACCTGGAAAATTCAGTGAATTTGAGAAAAAAAATTGTAGAAAAGTCAGGGAAAATTGACAGCTTATCCACATACTTGGAAAAGTCAAAGAAAATTGTGGACCCCTCTTTTTATTTATTTATTTCAGAACCTATGCACATGTACAAACCATTGGGTTAGCTATGCAAGTTATTGGTGAACTAACATAAACTTGGTCAGTTACTGTATGTTATTTTCTCTGGTGATAAATATCTAAATTATAGTCTAATTCATAATATTTCATGACAGATTAGATCAAATAGTTTTAATAAATGCAAAGTTTAGTATCTGTCATAAAGTTTCAGTGTTTCTGTTGAAGATTTTTTCTTTACAGTAATGTAGGGGGGAAGTTTGTTCTGAAGTTTTTATTACACTTTATAACCAAATTACAAACTAAAATGGTATTCATTACGTAGAATTATGAGGAAAAATTTAAATATCAGTATATCATATGCTCTTGTGTAAAGGTCTGGAAAGTTTAGAATTTTTGCCAAGAAAGTGAGAGGAGAAAAAAATAACAAAATATTATTATTCCAAATTCTACTTTTTGTTAATTGATGTAGAAAGTTTCCTACATCAGTGATTCCAGTTTTAACAGTTTATAAGGAGTATTAGGAGAGAAGAAATGCAAGTATATTCAACCAAACAGGAAACACTATATTACAGGATTTAGCATGAAGTAACTTTACATTATTATGTATTTATTTTTGTTTTAATATGTTCAGTATAATTTAATCGTGAGTAACACAACACTTCTTATGCCCTGACCTAAAAACCCGAAACTTTTGTAGTACTTAATGATACTCTGGAGTAAACTTTCAAGTTTTGTAATATGTATTGCCTGGTTGATTGGTGCTGGTAAATGCTGATTTACTTTTTCAAAAATCAAAATCCACCTAACAGGCTGCTGATAATCTTTTAATTTCTTAGGTTATTGCTGATATGTAATTATTAATATATATAGAATTATGATTCTAATGTAATATTATAAATAGCACCTCACATAAGTTCACATCACTTATTCACATGATATATTTCTTATATGTTGAATATGATATATGTTTCACCCACACTATTAAAAATAGGTTTCTTTTGGTGGTTATAGTCATATAACTGTTAAACTTAGTGACGTATATATCTACTTAAAGTAGTTATTTTTCTGGAAGATATAATTATTGTTAAAAAGCAGATAGTGTGCTCATTGTTTGATCTTGATGCAGTCAGTACCGAAGCCTGAAATTTGTTTTAAAAAGCCAATGGATTTATGAACCTTATCAGTGATTTTAGGGTCAATAGTATAAAAATTTCTGTAATCTATTTAATTCATTTTGCAATATAGTGAAATTGTATGCAAAGTTTCACTGATTTAATTTTTTTTTATGTACTAACTGTGAGCAGAAATTGTTATTAATAGTGTGCATACAGTCTCTTCAGCATAGCTTACTGAATATTTCTCATGTTAATTTTCTGGTTGTTACCAGGAAATGAGTTGGAGTTATTTTCTTGCAATGAGCATCAACATGAGCCTGTTTTTTTTTTATATATATATATGTTAAAAGTAAAGATAAGCTTTGCTGCTACTGCATAAGATTTTGTACTTGTTTTGTATGTATTTGTGGAACAGAAAATCTGTAGAAAAGTAGTTGTAGCTAGTCTTTCAGAAGTGGTAAATATGACAATCTTTAAAACTAGTTTAAATTTGGTGATGACATTTAGATTAGTAACCTCACAGTTAGACATACTCCTTAGACTATACCTCATAGTTTACAACATTCCAGATAATTTGCTGTTACTTTTGGATCTGTTTTATCTGTAAGAGAATGTTTGGTTGTGTCAACATATTACATGTATAATAAAGTTTGTTTCGTACAAGATCTCTTAATGAAATATTGTGAAACTTGTAACAAATGTGGCACAGGAAATTAATAATTTATGGGTTGTACCGCAGTCTACTCTAAGCAGGAACGGAAAAATAAATAGAAAGGTATTGTGTATTATTGTCATATACATAATCCTCAGAGACCATGAAAAACATGAATCATATTTTCTCACACATAGCAAACATCTTGAATTATAAGATTGAATTCAGTAATGCATTAGACCATGATGTGTTAGTATGAGTTTAAAAGTTAGGTCTCGGTGTGTTGGAGTTCAATACTGTTATATTCTTCAGTTTTTAATAAACATGTAAGATAGGCTAAGGAAAAGGTGTTACTAATTAGGGCATGTGTGATGTTTTCTTCTTTAGTGACTTATCATATTTATAGGCTTTACATATATAATTAACAGTGCAGGTTGGTCATGCAATGATTCAACACATCTATAGCATTATGTGCTTAACAATTACCAACACATTAAAGTTATGGAAAGATCAGTGCACGTTTAACAAGCTGAAAAATGTATATTGTGAAATTAAAATTAAAGATGAACAAATGCTGATGTATTTTATCAGTAGAAGTATTACACTGAAAGAGTAAGTGTAAAGTGAGTAAAACCCTTGACAATTAGCACAGGACCTTGTAAAATGGCCATACATTATTTATGAAAAAAACACATGCATATAAGTTTTGTGGCATCTCTAGAGTAGAGGATATACATTTTTCATTAAGACCTTATAATAGTAATGCAATTTCATTTTTTTGTTTGTTTTGAATTTTATTATAACAAGTTTTTAAATGTTGGAAAACAAACAAAAAAGCAATATCTATAAGAAGAAAAAAACGTTTGTATACCTCAAGTTATTCTAGGGATCTTGATCATTTCAGTGATTTAAAGATGAATGCCATTCTTGCTGAAGTTGAAATAACAAATCTTGTGTTAATTTTTAAAACTGATTCTGCTCATATGATTCTTTTTTTTTTACTTTCTTTTTTCCACAATTGATAAACATTTGTTTTAACAGGAATGAAGGACAAAAGGGAATGAAATACTCTGAGACGTACTGAAACTTGTGATAATTGAGTGCTGATAGATAATTGTGTATACGTAAAAGTATTAGCAAAGGACATCTTATATCTGTTTTGTGTGACATCTTTATCATTCTGGGTTAAATAACTGGCTTCACAAATTTACAATGATTAAACAGTCATCATTTCTGAAGTGGGCGCAGAACAATAAGAATGCCAATAAGACAGGTAAGTTAAATTTAACATTCTTATGGTAATGTAATGAAAATGTCTATGCTCAGTATGTAAGATAATTATATATAAACAATTGTTGGAATATTTATAATACAAAATTACATTCCTGGCTATAAAATAACCTGCATACTCTGCACTTGTAACACTATATGTAAGAATATCAAATATTTAGCTTCAGTAATGCTACATGTGTGTGTGTTGCAATATATATATATATATATATATATATATA